ATCCCCCCGGCGTCCACTGGGAGTGGCTGATGGTGAGAAGAGCCCCACGGAGTAACTTCCCAGACAAACAACAGGAAACGATCAGTCTTCATGTGGGGTGGACCTGCAGACAGTCCAGTTTAAACTCACCAGGAAGGAGCCGAGCCCGTTAACAGGCCTAGCTTTCTCCTCTCCCACAAAAACACTCCCCACCCTCCACCTCTCTGAGGCCTGAGGAAGGCAAGTTCTGCTGGTAATCCTTATAACCCTTCTGTCGTCCTTTAAGGATTGAGATTTGAGTCACTCCCTGAGGTTATGTGTCTGGAAGCTAAAGGGATGAAGCAAGTAGCAGAAGTTCAAGGCTTCGTCAGTAGACGGTTAGGTTTTCGTGATGGGACGAGGAGGGAAGAGCATCCAGGCCTTCCTCCTACCTGGGAATTCTCATCTGTCTTCCAAAATGCCATCAGCCTGATTATGATAGAATTTCACCTTAGACTGCAGACAAGTGGTGCATGATAAAATTCCAGTAATTCCAAAAGCTCCAATTTTGTTATTCTGATAACAGTCACAAAGAAAGCTTCAGCTAGTAAGGCAGCAAACTGTTATCTCACCAACGTCTGTTACTTTTGCTCCTGGAACAGACACTCATCTGAGATCACCAGGAATGGCAGATGGAAATGGAGAAGGGGGCGCCAGGCTTTACCTTTAATTCCAACCAAAGAACTGATTGAACTACAGATTTATTTTTTCAAAGGGAAAAAATCATGGCAAATAACAAGGGGGCACTCCTTATGCCGATCTAGGTTTTTATTCCCAAAAAGAAGTGTTGGATGGTCGAATCTTTCCCCAAAGCTTTATTGATTTTCTCCTGAGCAGGGAACAATGTGGACGGAAGATGACATACTCAAAACAACCTTGCAGGTTTAAAAATCAAGTCCTTAGAACAGAAATGAGATTCAAGAATCGGATGTCTTGTTCTAATTCTGCTAAACATTGACATAAATGAAAGAGGAAACAGAATGCCTTACACCTGGCAGGCACTGCGTAATTATCTGTTGAGAGACTGGCTGATTGATTTTGAGCCCCCGTGGCCCTCTGTACCAGCAAACTCACTCAGTTGTTCTAAAGGCAAGCAGGGTTGAAGATTTATGACTGCCCAGCTGCCCCCAATGACCATAAATCATTGCCAGCCTCCAGGCGTTCCAAGTAGCTCGGCTCGTAGTTGGGCAGGCTTAGGACGGCGCACTGTGAGGACCCCCTCCTGGTGGTACCCCTCGCTAGAAATGGAGGGTCAACCAGGACTCTAGTCCTCAGTGTCCATGACACAGGACGGGAGAACCCACTTGTCCACTCAGTGAGACGGGGTCTTCAGCTCAGACCAACGACCAGGCTGAAGGGTCTCAGGCCTTCTATCCTCAGTGTCAGTGCACACCAGGACACAGAGTGAAGGCCGTTCAGGCTGACCACTGCCCGTGACCTCACACTGCGTCTGCATCTGGAGCTGCTGTCCTCTGGCCTCTCACAGCTCTGTGGTCACTGGCACATTAAATTTCACCATGGTCACTAGCATACTAAATGCCATCATGATGTGTATCTGTTGTCTCCACTGGCACACCAAGAGCTTCTTGAGGACAGGGACTGTGTTTCCCTTATTTATTTATTTATTTATTTATTTATTTATTTATTTTTGAGGAGGATTAGCCCTGGGCTAACATCTGCCGCCAATCCTCCTCTTTTTGCTGAGGAAGACTGGCCCTCAGCTAACATCTGTGCCCATCTTCTTCTAGTTTATATGTGGGATGCCTGCCACAGCATGGCTTGATAAGAGGTGTGTGGGTCCACACCTGAGATCTGAACCAGCGAACCCCGGGCCGCCAAAGCAGAGTGCACGAAATTAACCACTGTGCCACTGGGCCAGCCCCAGGTATTTCATTTATTTTTATAACCCCCATACATAGCATGGTATCCAACTCACACGCAGAGTGAAATTTTTTTACTGAGTGAATAAATTGAAGCTCTCTCCCAAATAAAACGTTTAGGTCTAAAACTATCATTAAACACATTTTCTAGAATATTCAAGTTAAGGATTAAGAGGAACCCATATAATTGCATAGGTACTTAATTTCCTCTTGCAATTCACCCAGAATGGGAGATAAGATAGTCATGCCGGTTTATATAAGAAAGGCTATAAATAGCAATTGCCCTAGATATGTAAGTAAAGAAAGTCCAGAGGAAAAGTGGACATATATTCTTTTTATAACTCTTGCCTTCATTGATCGATTCATCCCAGACAGAGAGCCTCTTGGATCAATTGTTGTATTTATGAACTGGCTCAATGTCACCTTTAAAGTCCATGTCAATAATTGTATTCAACCTGCGTAACTACTTAAGTGGACTTCCCCCTGACTCATTGGGACGCTCAAGGAGAGCCAACATCTACCACCCAGCAATTTAAATAAACAAAAAGGATCTTAAACTATGGAACAAATTATAAAAGCATCTTTTACATTTTACAGCCAGTCAAGCCAGGCATTTTATGTGGCTAACACAGGACAGAACTGTTTGTGCTAAAGGTGAGCTGAGGTAAGAGTAGCCAGTCTCCTTCTGGGAAAAGGGTGAGTAATTTCAGAGGGAGGAGAGGCCAACGTAATTTAATGAAATGTAAAATATTTTAAAGGAAAAGTTATTTCATCATTTTAAAGCAACATTCAAAAGGCCATCCTAAGATAATAAACTATTGCTTAATAGACAATTGGAGAGTTCTTCCTTTAATTAATGGAAAAGAACAATTTGTAATTGACATACAAATTGTGGTAGGACGTTACTTGGTTCCCTTCACTAAGTTACACCCACCACTTATCCTGTTGATGGGATCATTTTATGCACATTCTTTAAACAGAAAACAAACGGGTGTGCAAGACAAAGACAAATCTTGGCTCAAGCTGTGCCAGATCCTCAGACGGGTTATGAATTGGCAGAGTAACCATTTCTTGGGATAATGGAAAGGGAGTCAAAATGGAAGAGGAATTTGGAGAAAAAAAGGAGATAAGAAAACCATGCCCACATCAGGCCTTCAGTAAATGTCTGCAGAAGAATTGGATGAAAGCCAAGGTAAGGAGGGGTGGGATGGTGGGGTCAGGATCCATGTCACCGGAATGGCAGTTGAAGGAAAGGGGGAATGAACTGTTACCAAGAACAGCTGTTCCAAATCAGGGTGGGCTGCCTTGGAAGGACATTCTGGATCCAAATGACCCAACGGAGGCTGATGGAGAGTGCCCTCCCTCCTGTACATCATAGTCTGCTTCTCCTTTGTTTTTTTTTTAATATTGATTCTTGGGCTTATTCTCTGGAGATGCTGATTAAGTAGGCCTGGAGTGGCTTTTAAAAGCTCCCCAGATGACTCTGATAAGCAGCAAGTTTGGGAAACACAGGACTTAGTTACCGCTAAGCTTCCTTCTCTCCATGAATCAAAGCCTGGCCCACATCTGCCAGGGGCAGCCGTAGATAAACAAGAGATGAAGAAAAGAGACGTGCAGAAAGAGAGAACTGAGCACTCAGAATATTTCAGGGTCTGTCTCCTTCATACTAAAAGGCCGACCAAGTGTGCCACTGTGCCTATGTCCTCCTGTAGCACGCTCAAGTACAACATGAATAATCTGGGCCAGCTCTTAGAGACAATTAAATAACTACACAGAGCAGCCAGCATCCAAGTCAAGTCCATAAAATGGATGAGAAAAGTCAAAATGAATCAGTCTAACCCTGCCGCCAATCAAACCGAAGAATGGAATTTCTACGCCTTGTGAGGACCCCTGGGAGAGCCATCAGCACCCCTCTGGGACACACTGCACTTCACAAATGGAACACTCAGAAACAAACAAAAGGAACTGCCAAACCAAGGGACTCATTCCCCACACTGTCTGAAAGTTCCTGCCTCTGCTCATGGCCATGCGCACCTGAAATCCTCTTCCATCTCCGTCTACACCTCACATCCCAGCTCAAGACCACTCTGGTGCCTGGAACCATTCCCTTCCAGAACAGCTGCAGGATAAGGTCTCTCTCTTTTAAAGTCTCATATTGCAATGGCACTTAAATAATGCTTCTAAAAGTAGGTGTTATGCACACATCTTTTCTGTCACACTGCTGAGAACACTCTGAGAACATTATACACGTTCGATTTATTTTTGTGTCCCTCCCAATTCTAAGCACTGTTCTTTGTGCAGTAAACAAACATTTGGTGGATAAATTCATTCCACAAATATTTACTGAGTGCCTTCTATACGCCAGGCATTGTTCTAGGTACTAGGAACAGAGTAGAAAATAAAATAGACAACATCCTTTCCCTCCTGGAATTTAGATGTGCAAAATAATGTTAGATGGAGATAAGTTCCATAAGGAAAATGAGAGCAGAAAAGGGAGAGAGGAAGTGTTGAGGGTATCGCGATCCAAAAAAAGTTGATCGTGGAAGGCTCATTGTGAGTGAAGCCCTGATGGAGGTGAAGGAGTGAGCCATGCAGAGAGCCAGGGGAAGAATGGTCCAGGCAGAGGGAAGAGCAAGTTGCAAAGCCCTGAGGAGGAAACACAGATGGCATATGGAAGGATGAGGAGTCCAGGGGAGGGGGAGCAAAGTGAGTGAAGGGGAAAGAAGTGGAAGATCAGAGAGGTAATAGGGGTGGGGGCCTCGGATCAGGCAGACCATGTAGATCGGTGTAAAGACATATATAATTCGACTTACATTAAGAGGATCACTCCAGCTTCTATGTGAATAAAGTGATAAGGATGAGGGAGGAGGAAGAGAGAGCAGATGAAAGCTACTAAAATCATCCAGGCATGAGAAGTTGGCGACGTGGACCACAGCAGAGGAGGTCAGACTGGGTAGATTTTGAAGGTAGAGCCAACGGGATTTGCTGACCAGCTGAATACAGGACACAAGGATAGGAAGACTCCAAAGTTTCTGACTTGAGTAACTGTTAGGATGGAGTTGCCATCACTGAGATGAGCACGACGGGCAGGAAGAGCAGTTGCAGGAGGGATGGGGCTGAAGATCAGAGCTTGGTTTTGGACATCTTAGGGCTGAGCTGCCTGCTGGGCATCCAAGTGGAGATGTCAGGGAGGCAGTTAGATAAATAAGAATGAAGTCTGGCGGAGGGGTCCAGACTAGAGATATGAATTTGGGATTCATGAGTATATAGATGGTATTTTAAGCCCTGAGGATAAATAAGAACCCCGAGAAATGGTAGGAGAAAGAGAAGAGGTCTAAGGGCAAAACCCTGAGGCCTCCAATGTGCAGAAATTAGAAAGCTATGGGAGAACCCGCATAGAGAATGGGAAGAGTTTGGCATCTGGGAAGCGAGATGAAGAATACGTTTTAAGGAGGAAGGACTGATCAACTGTGTCAGATCCTGCAAGTGAGATGAGGACTGAGAATGGATCATTGGATCAAGCAACACGGAAGTCACGGTGACCTAACGAACAGCGCTGGAGCAGAATCCTAAAGTCAGCTCAAGAGACAAAGCGGGGTGGGACTGGGTTTGGTATTCAAGAATACAGAAAACTTTTTCAAAGAGTTTTGTTTTGAAGAAAAGGAAAGGGAGTGCCAACTAGAGGAAGAAGTGGAATCAAGAAAGGGTTTGAGGATTTTCTTAAGAAGCATGAAATAATAGCCTCTTTATACTCTGATGGGAATGATCCAGCAGAGAGAACAATTAGGGAGATGTGAGGGGAAATTACCAGAGCAATATCCCTGAGTGGGCAAGAAGGATGCAGTCCATTGCATCAGTGAGGGTCCCTTGCTTGGAATGCGGGCACTTCATCCACCATAAGAGGAGATGAGCAGTGCGCATGGGCACCGATGTGGGTGGGGGCATGTGGGAGCTTGCGGAAGCTCCCAATATTTTCTATCAGGAAAATAGCTCGTCTCTGTTTTCCCAATGAAACAGGAAGCAAGGTGATCAGCTGAGATGAGGCTGTGGAGGAGATGCTGGTGAATGAATCTGTCATTTGGGAAGAGTGGATGGACCAGGTGAACATAGTGTACGTGGTAGGGCCTGCTTGTAGTTAGTCCGCGTGAACTCATAGAGTGTCCAGGAAGAGTGGCAAGAATGAATGAGTGAATGAGTAAATCTTTCCAAAGAGATCAAGAAACCAGAATCTAGACAAAAAAAGTTTGGCTAGCTCTCTTTCTTCCTCCAAAATAAGTAACGGCAATACTGGCCACAACATGTAATTGGACACTTAAAGCAGGCTCCTTTTCAGCAGACCTGACACATCATCTTGCACACTGCTGACGCACCGTTAAATATTTGCTCTCAAAGGAATATTTCTCAAACCCAAGCTCACCTTTACCTTCAAGTAGTCACAGTATCTCAGAACGCAGACTTTAAGCCAGCAGACTGGGGTTTTGGTTCCAACTCTGCCAATGTCTAGCTCTGTGACCTTCACCTCTCTGCATCTCAATTTCCTCATCCACAAATGGGAATAAACAATGGTAGAACCTATGTCACTGGGCTGTCTCAAGGATTAAATAGCACGTCCCTTGCCTAACACAGTGCCTGTCTTATAGTAAGTGCTTTACCAATGACAGGTGAATTCTGAGGAAGTCAACAGTGGAACCAGGCCAGAGAGAAGACTAGTCTTGGTTCAAGTTCTTTATCATATTTGGATGACGCCTTTGTGTATACAGCTCAGAATATATAAGTTTCATTATGCAATTGTTAAGAGTTACTGACCTCTATCCAAAAGACGGCTCAGCAAACACCTGATCTACACCCTCTGAGGATCAGTAAAGCCCCACAGTAGAGACTATTATGTCCATTGATTAACAATAAAAAGGCAAAGTCCTGAACCCAAAATCAGCTATGTATCAGTGACTTAGGGCCAACATGTTTATTTTCTTTAAGAAATCTGTTTAAAACACAAACTGTCACAAAGCGCAGTCGTTAAGTCTGGTCAAGAAGTGCAAAACTGAATAAGACAGTCCTCTTTTTTCAAAGTAATAATAGCTAGTATTTATCAGCACCTCTGTGCCAGGCACAGTGCCTGTGACTTTTACAACCAAGAGTTGAGTTACTCCTCGTCTCAGCCCTGGTAGTGGCTCCTATTACTACAAGTGAGGAAATGAAGACTTCGAGAGGTTCCATGATTTGTCCTGGGTCAGGCAGCTTGACCCAAAAGGGGTCTGACCAAAACAATCCTTTTCCCCCTTTAACTTGCAAGTGAGATGGGGAATCAAGGCCAGGCCAAGAGCCTGGAAGGCCTTGCTAGACAGTGACCATCTTGGCCTTCACCTTCCTGTAGGGTCCTGGAGGTGTTCTGTGTTGAAGGGGAGTGAGGGGGTTACAACCGAGAGCCGGTCTGTGTGATTCAATTCCAAAAACTAGGAGGAAGGGGGTGGTAGCTGTTGGATTTGGTATAGAACCAGCCAGTGAAACCAGGGGCCAACTAGCTTTAACTATAGTCAGTTGTCTGTTTGCAGAAGTAGTTACATAACCCATTACTAAACTCACCCTATAGATGACATCTCTGGCTTGGGTCAACATGGTAACGGGTGCTTAAGGTTTTTAGGAACTGAGTGTTGACTCCTTGTCCAGTTCAGACTGGTTAAGACACACTGACTCATCAACTGGGCCTGCACAGATGACTGAAAGATGACCCTTTGACATCGGGAGGCTGAAAACTCCAACCTCAGATCACGCTAAGGTCGCCATTTTGTGAACACGCATCCTATGAAGTGCCATGAAACTTGATTACACTTGTGCAGATCATTGATTCCTTACTTCCAATCATCTATCCCCTCACTTCAGACCACACTACCTCTTTATCCCAAAAATATCCCTAATCCCCATTTTCAGGGAAGCAGACTTGAGATTTGTTCTCTTGTCTCCTCTCTTGGCCACCTTGTGGACAAACCCTTTCTCTGTTGCAAACTCATCGTCTCAGTGATCATTATATCATGCGGCAGGCAAAATGAGCCTGGTTTGGTAACACCAGGATTAAGATTCCAAACTGTGTTTGTTGTTGTCAAGGTGTCTATGGCTTTTGAACCTACCCAGAGGAACACTTGATAATAAAGCATTCTATATCCATCTGAAGAAAGGTTCTAAAGGCTCCAAATGGGAGCAGCCCTAGAATGAGTGGTCAGAAAATGTTCCGACTGAAAGAAAAGCTAAAACAGTCTACATCAACATGAGCTTAGCCATCACCAGAAATCTCGCCAGCATAAAAGATGGTTTGATAATATATTGCAGATGCGAGGTGGGTATTTCCCCAGTCCTCTACAAGGAGACCAGAACGTTTGCCAAATTCAATCAGGGACACCCAGGTGTCTTCCTTATCCAATCAAGAGACCAGAGTCTCCCTCAAATCTAATAACAGTGACCATGAAAAATGGGATAAGGATGTCAACGAAGTCATCAGAGAATACTGCAATCTGCCCTATTGCATTAGGACCTCTGTCTGGGCTGGCCCTGTGTCAAGAAAAAGAAATATATTACGAAGCACAAGATAGGGGATGGGGAGTGGACTCAAGAGTTTAAATGTTATCACCCTTGGTTTGGCACTTTAGGGAAAAAGGAACTGCACAGACCCTCAAGGATTGCTTTCAGTTATATCCAGAGAAAATAACTCACAGGAAGGGGAATTTGGCGGGCAAACAAAGAGTAATTAAAACACCTTACAAGAAGGTCGCTCCCATTGTTCTACTCACCACTAACCAAGCTTCTGACATCCCCTCTCACTTCCCAGGGGTGCCTGCCCACCAGGACAGTGGGTTCAGCAAATGACCACTGTCGCCTTCCTGCTGGACAGCACACCCATCCACTGGTAAGTCCGCCTTCCTCATCCCATAGCTAACAAATTGATCCAGGCCCTAGACCCCCTCCTGCCTCCTAACTCTCTCCTGACCTTGGGCATGCCCACCCAGCCCCCTCTCCATGCAGCAGCCACAGGAGTCTTTTTTGCAAAATTCTAATCTGCTTCAACCATTAAGGAACAAAATTTATAGTCTTAGAATGTGTTGTATAAATATCTGTCTGACCATCTAATTAAGCTATTACCAAAAGAAGAAAGATTCAGCTAAATAGATTATCTCATCATAAAAACAGCAAAATCTGAAGTAGATTAATCTGTTCTAAATTAGAAACCCTTACTGCTTTAAGTGCATACATACAAAGCTAAATTTTGACAAGACAACAAACTGTAGCAATCACCTAATGATATAAATAAACCCTGATAACAAACAGATCTCTCTCCATAGTGACTGATTTATGTTAGAGTATAAATATTCTACTTCGGTTTTTCCACATTGTTGAATTTTCTGTGTGGGTGAAAAATATTGGAAAGGATCAGATTTAAATGTGGTTATTCAGGGTAAAATATAACTGTAGGTTTAAAGCAGAAATGTTACAGAAAGTCATTAGCTGTGGAGCCATAAATCATGCTGATATTGAACCTCTTAATCTCAAGTTTGTGGGCCTGATGAGCAGTAAGCCAATCGCTGAGAAGTGGTGCTTGGAGATGGGGAAAGGTTTATTCGAACTGGCCAAAATACGAAGGCAGGAGGATAAGTTCTCTCAAATCAGCCTTAACAAGAGAAGAAAGCAGGGGGTCTTTATAGAGCTAAGGGGCTTGGCAGGAAGAGTTTCAGAGAAACAAAGGGGAAATCATGTTTCTTTCACTCCAGATGTGCCCTTGGGCAAACAGACTTCTGGGCATCAACTGCAGCTGGCAGCTGGTTATCTGGTGATCGCCACTTCTTTAAAGGCAGTCTTTTTCTTCTGCAAAACAAGCTCATAAATCCTTGTGACCCTTGAGTCACCCCTCAGGTTAAACTAGAAAGCAAACTATGAAGATTAATTTCTTTTCCTCTGTGTCTGTTTTGAGAACAAGGTGGACGGGTAATCATGTTCTTATTGAATATTTACAGCAACCCTCAGGTACCCAGCTTCAATACCAAGAAGTCAAGCATGTAAAAAATAAAAGATAACAAATAAATCAAGTTTAACTTTAAAAGAAAATTCCAAGGAATTTCATTTCGAGGCATCTTTGAGTTCGCCAAGTGGACACCATGAGCAAAACTCACTCTCCCAAGATGAAAAAATTTATGGATGAGAAGTTAACGCTGAAATTAAATGGTGGGCTGCGTGTCCAGGGAACATCCTAGGGAGTTGATGCCTTTACGAATCCTGCCGTAGATGAATGTGTGGTGATGGCAACTAACAGGCAACAGAACGTTGGATGGTGGAAGACAAGGGGATAGCGTCACCATGTCAGAAGCCTAAGAACCAGTATAAACAATGACTATGTTCACCAGAGAAGCCAATGGCCTCCACGCGTCCTCTCTCCACAGCACCTGTTTTACTACGATATAAAAATCAGGCCATGCATATTTTCATATTGAATTTTTTTGTTAAATAGACTTTTGTCATTGTAAAAAAAAAAAAAATTCAGATCTGACCACTCACTTCAATGGCTTCTGGCTAAACTTAAAATTCTGACTTGGCCCAGAAGGATCTCCTGGTCTGACCACACCGTCTGCAGTCTTGCCTTGAGCCTCGGGGCAGCTGTGCTGGCCTGTAATCATTTCCTGACTGTGCCCCTCCTGTTTACCTCAGGCTAGCTGAGGTCTTGGCCTTCCAGGCCTGCCTGGGCGAGGGCCTCTCTACTGGCTGTCTCAGGTGGCCTCGCTCTCCCCCAATTCTCTAAAGCAACACTCCTTCTCTCAAGCTGCCGCCATTTTGTTTACGAACCAACCACTCTACCACACAACCAGAGAACCCCAGCTCCAGCTCCTGGCTGAGCACAGGGGTTACCCCCTCAAGGTTTATTTCCACTTCCGATGCAGATGATCAAAGCAGGTTTACCTGCCGTGGAGCTTATCCGTGCAATGACAAGCCCACGCACAAGCCAGGATGAAAGGCCATATAAACCCTGAACATATGAGAGCCTGGTGAAAGTCCAATAAAGTAACTGAGTCCCCTGAGGGGCTTTTCACAAGAAACACTCCCCTTTGAGGCCTGGCTCTCAATTACATGGGGCATTTGCTACTCAGACAGACGGCAGAGTCATTTCCTTCAGGTGAATGGAAACCTGTTTCTGAAGGCTTTGGAAGATCATCACAAAGGAAAACCTCATTTGTTAAGCTTCCTGGAATTAATCTCTTCTCTCCCTGACTAAATAAAATGGTTTTTTAAAAACGAGGGTGGAGATGTGGCAAGGAATAATCTTTTCAAGGAGTGACAGTGACAACTAGACAGAATTCCATTTGTCAGCAAGATGTCTCTACCTGGTCACAGATGTTCTGGTGGCTCTTTCCTGGCACAGGGTAGGTCTGTGCTTTGTTTATCCCTCTGAAGTTAGACTCGGAGCCTGACTTGCTTTGGCCAATAAACTGGGAGGTGGTCGTGATGTGTGCCATTCCCGGTGGAAGCTTTAAGAGCCAATGGGTGACTCCCATGGCCTTTGACCTTGCTAATCAAGGAAGCGCATGTCTAGATGGAGCCTCGTGGGCCTGGGTCCCTGAGTGACAATGAGGAGCAGAACTCCCAGGTCAGCCAACATCAGAGACACAGCAGGAGTGAGAAAGATGACTGGTACTTTGAGCCCCTGAAATTTGGCGTCGCTACTGACTGCAACATGCCCTAGCCTATTTTGACCGATACACTGAGCTGATTTGTCACAGACTCTTGGCATCATAAACCATCATCAAGTTCCTATTGCAGATCAGGAGGCTGCAGAACGATTATGCAGTAGTAGCCTTTAGTCTGTGGAGCCCAGAGCCCCATACCCAGCAGCAGGGCTAAGCTGGGGACCCCAGCATCTTCTAATGAGCAGTTTCTTATTGATATGCAGCGTCAGCCACCGGCCAAGAGCTGGGGACACAGTGGCCTATTGCTGGAAAATTGCTACAGTTGCTGTGAGGAGGGTCCCTGTGGCAAGTTGAGCAAAGTCAGGAAATCAGTGAGGAAGTTGGCAAGGCCAAGAGTCAAGGAGAGAGGGCACGGGGCCTCAGGAGCAGCTCTGCACGTGCACATGACAGTGGAGTGACTATTAGTGATCAGAGCGGAGTATCGCTAGGCACTTTTCTAAATACTTCACACGCATTAACTCCTTCCCTCCTCACAACCACCCTATAGAGAGACAGTACCATCGCTGTCACTTTATAGATAAGGAAAGCAATACAGAAAGAAGTTGAGTAACTTGCCCAAAGCAACCCAGCTAAGCCGAGAGGCGGGGAAGTGAGAACACACACATTAGAAATTAGGTATGGTTAATAATAATATGGAATTAAAAGAAGGAAAGATCTGTAACAGAATGTGATAGCCAAGAGCCAACAACAGATGATACGGCTGGCCAAGAGAAGGTCCTGGCTGCCCAGCTCTGGGTATCAAGGCTACGAGCAGGAATTAGTCATTCCCATCCCAATGGATAAGTCAATATGTAAATTCGTGATTGCATGAATCTCAGCCAGGCCATGCAAGCCCAGATTTGGTTTGCTCAAAGACATAAACTCATTCGTTCATTAACTCATTCACAAATCTTTCAGGGTGGCTGCCATGTGCAAGGTACTCTTGTACACTCTGGGATGAAACCGTGAATAAATGATGCTGTGGCTGCTCCCAAGGAACCTTTCATTCCATGGAGAAAGCAGACATGAACTCGGAGTGAGGGCCCCCTGGGGGCAAAACAGAGGTCACTTATCCATAGCTCTAGCAGAAAGCAGCTCAAAATATCCTTAAAAAATGCTGCCCCCAAAGTGTAAGTAATGGCGGATCACAGCGTATGGTCATAAGGAGGGTGTAGTGGGGGAGGGGACAAAGGGATTGGGCACTGGACTTACCAGGAGGTGCCTGGATGTGCCCACCCAAGAGAAATCAGGGGGTGTCAGTGAGTGAGACAGCCCCTCCACATGCCACATAAGGGCCACCTCAGTTCAAAGATGTGGCAGGCCAAAAGCTGAGCCGCTCATCTGTGGACATTACACGCAACCTGGGTCCCTGTTCACCAGTGTTTCCTGCTCTTGGACGTGTGACTACACCTGCAGATTAGTCACCAGACAGCCCAGACATGAACTTCTGAGCCAATTTATGTCAAAGAAGAAAACGATATTTTACCTGATCAATTCAGCTCAATAGGCTCTTTTGTTTGATTTTTAAACCAGTTTTGCAGGGGGAAAGAAGTTCTTTTGGTTTTCAGTTTTTTTCTCCCCAAAGCCCCTGTATACCCTAGTTGCAAGTCATGCTAGTTCTTGTGGGATGCTGCCGCGGCACGGCTTGATGAGCAGTGTGTATGTCTGTGTCCAGGATCGGAACCAGTGAAGCTGGGGCTGCTGAAGCGGAGCACACGTATTGAACCACTACGCCACCGGGCAGGCCTCCTGGCTTAAATTTTGACAACTAACTCTACTTCAAAGAAGCCAGAAGAATCACTGACCTGACATCACAGGGGACAGCTCAAAACTTGAGAAATGTGCAAACAGTCACAAAGTGAGCACTGCGTCACAGCAGTCTCTCCTGCTTTTCTCAGATGCTTAAAAAAAGAGGCTGATACATGTTTGCATCAATGTGAGACTTTACCCAAGTCTTTGAAACTTTCCTATATTTTACTTACTCATCTCGAGAAATTTCACAGTTTAATGACTCAGGCAGAAACTGGGGGGGATCTGAATTGGCCACTCCAGAATGTGTCTGTTTGGTTTAATTATTTTTAAGAACAAAAGACTCAGAAAGAAACTTTGACCTCTCCTCTAACTGCCTAAAAGGATTTCAGATAGAAGGCCTGACCCAGGAAGGAGCTATCTCCGCAGATAACTCCAGATGTAACAGACTGGGAGAAACCTTGCTGGCTCATTTTCATCAAAGTTCACTCGGGTCACACTGTCTATAGATGGCCCGGCAAACATTTCTTTACCAAACATTTGCTTTTCCATCTCCATGTAAATTGCCTTCCTCCCCTTTGAAGTCCCAAACCACTACTACCAACATCCTCCTTTGTCTTTAACTAAAGACGGTATTTAAGTTGGTGGCTTTGGCCATTTTGGCGAGTTACTCAGTTTTCCTGGGTTTCTCCCATGTATTCATGTTATTAAATGTGTTTGTTTTTTCCTGTTATTCTGCCTCATGTCAATTTAATTCTTAGGCCAGCCAGAAGGACCTAGAGGGTAGAGGAATTGTCTTCCTCCCCTACAAAGCCAACACTCAGTGGGTTTGTAATAACTGTTCATGTACTATGACATTTGAAAGCATTTTTCTGAACTCTGAACTTCCCTGACGTCCTAAGACAAAATATGTTTTATTTTTCATTCTGTTTCCTTCTTGTCACAATCAAGAGTGAAAGTTGGATTTATAAACTCATTTTCACAAACTCATTTTCCTTGTTATAATTTTAGGGCTACCTGTACTATAGAAAATTTTAGTGAAATTTATGACTAACATTAGCCAGAGTTGCCTGCTAATAATCCAAGATAACTCATTAAAAAAAAAAATCACTCTTTCAAATGTTATAAGTCTAAGTTATCAGAGTAATCATGAAGGATATAATCTAAAAACCAGTAGAATATTTGTGCTTTCAGTGGGTATTTATGGATTTCTACAGTGATGGCGTGCTTACTGGTGACAAGCTCTATTATACTGTGCACCTTACACGAATCATTTCATCTAATCCTCACGATGACCCTATAAGGTATCTATACACTTTTAGTATCCCCATTTTACAGTTGGGAAAATAGAGAGGTTGCATAACTTGCCCCAAGGTACACATCTTGGAAGTGATGGAGCCAGATACAAACTCAGCAGGTCTGGACATAGAGTGTGTGCCCTTGGCCACCATGCTAACTAAATGTCTTCTCTTGCTGACCACAACCTAAAGTCCTATACGTGTAAAGCAATTCGGTGAAAATGACTGACTTTAGTGAAATGACAAGATGAAGTTTTCTTTTCCTTTCACATTGTTTACACCCAAGCTAGTTGGCTGGAGTCGCTCAGCACTGCCCAGCGACTAACCCTTCATCTACCCAGCATCCTATTTCCCACTTCGTCTCGCTTTGGAAGAAGACAAAGGGGATCAATATCATGCAAACCATTTGCCGCACAAAGTAATTTTATTTCAAGTCTCAAGTCAGAGAAGCAATGAAAAAGAAAACCTGTCTTAGCCCCCAATCAAAAATAAATCAAGTCACATTAATGAAATAAAAACAAGATGCCCGCAAAGTGTGCTGCTGATCAGAAAGATGGCGCACACACACTCTGAGCAAACTTCCATGGCCCAGCTCTCCAGCGTGGCACCATTAAGGCCGAGGACAAAGCATCTTATTATCGCAACAAACAAGAAGGCTAGGCTCAGAGGTGAAATTTTTCCTAATTAAAGTATAAGCAAGAAAACCATTATGTGCAAGAAACCATTTTTTAGTTTGAGAAGTCAGATACCCAGGGAAACAGGAAATAGAGTCAAAGTGAAGAGACCATTGATAATTAACAATTAAATATTCAAGACAAGATTTTAAAAACATTCTACCGCACTGTTAACATTTCTTCTCTCAGGACAACCTGAATCTTAAAGCAGAAAGAAAGGGAAAATGCCCACCACTGCCCGCTCCATGACGAGTAGCCTAGACTAACAACTCCCAGAGTGGAGCTCAGTTCCACACCGGGCAGGGCAATCCTGATCAAGAATATCTCCTAAAGCCGGCCTCCCAGGGAGCAGTCAGCCGCTTAACGATAAAGACTCAAAACGGGGGGGATAAAAATTGCACTTCTGAAGACAGGCCTACTTGATTTCACTTTTTAAAAAAATCCATCACCTACTACTAAATTTAAATCTGACCATTAGCTCCTAAGGGAGAAGCTATAGTTTCTCTACCTTCCTGTCACCCGACTAAACCTAAACTTTGACATTCTGTCCTCATTTCAGACGCACTGTGAGAAGAATGTGGACATGGACTAATTTTTCTGGGGCGGTGCAGAATGGCACTGTCATCTCTTATTGCACGCAGAGCCCCTCTCAGCTCTGAGGAAATGGTCCGGGGTCACCACTGGGCAGCAAAAACGCATCACGCCAAAAGAACAGCTCCGCATCCAGGCTCTGCCTCCAGGCTTCCTTCAAATGCAAACCCCAGGTTTTCACGCTTCACTCAACCTACCCGGCCACACTGGCGACAGTCCCAAACCCGGTGTCGCTCTTATCTCCAGTCACGTGCTCTCAAGGAGCTTGCACAGACTGCTTCTCCTGTGTCGCCCACTGAAGTGACGGAGGGAGGTCTTCCAGGTACATGCCTAAAATGACTCTTCCAAGAAGGGCTTGCACGGCTGTGACAACATTTACATCAGAGAAAGCGGCCGAAGGCTCAGGAGATTTCCCGACCTGTCACCTGTGCAGAGTTCCTTGCGCTATGCTGGGTGAAATAGGAAACCAGCCCTACACTCCTAAGTGCTTCCATTTCACTCAGGCACATCCCCCAAACACTATGCTGTGTAGCTCTCGCGACAACACTTTCCTGTAGGTGAAACTAATATCCCTATTTTACAGATGAAGAAACTGAGGCTCAGTTTCTTCAGCTAAACGCTTTCTTACACAAATCACCTCAGTTAATTCTCACATCAGCCGTTTTGTTACGCCCAATTCTACAGATAAGCAAACTGAAGAACAGAGATGCTAAGTAATTTCTCCAAGGTCATGCAGTCAGTATGGGGCACCAGTTGGGACTCCAACCTTCCTTTTTCTCACTCATTCCATGCAGATGTTAGTCTTCAGTTTCATTACAACCACCCTAAAAAATAATAAGGTTGTTTCATCTCACATATATAAAAGCATCATCATGAGTAATACCAATTATTTTTAATAGCCCATGAACCAATGACAGAGATTTCACATGAGATGCATATTTTTGCAGTTAGTTTCTACTTAAAAAGACAGGCCTGGGTGGCCAGGCCCCCAAGTCCAGACACTTACTGGGACTCTCCGCGCCTGGCAGCCTGTTCCTTGCACTGTGAGGATGAAGCCTTTGGTGGCTGGCAGTGTCTTCCCTCCCTGCACCCCCTGCCCAGCCCTCCCCACGCTGGCTCTACGCTCAGGCCGCCCTTCCTCCCAGGAGGAAGTGGGTTGGGAGGGTATTTCAGGAAGCAGAGCAGAGCTTTGAAAAGGACATCTGTACTCATAGTACCAGAGAGAGTCTAGAAAGCTCACAAGCACAGCTGGCGACTCTCCCGGGAGAGCTCGCTTTGCCTAGAGCTTCTGTCTTTTTGAGCCAGTCATCCAAGTGATACACGATCTCATTTTCCTCCTTCCCTGTGGATGAAGAAATGAGTCACCTGTGAGGTTAGAAAATCCACGTTTCCATAGCTGATGCCTCCGCATCTCATCAAGGTCAAGATGTTGGAGACAAAGCAAGGGCAGCTATCTCTGCATCTTAGATGATCACTTCCACTCATAGCAACACAATAACCAATAGCATAAAGACCCTCTTTAGTATTTCTGGTACAGTGGTTTGTATCAGCGTGATAATCTTGAAAGCCAGGAGCAATTTTATCTTTAACGATTCCAAGAAAACGCAAAGGGAAACAAAACAGTCAGACTAACGCACCAGTGACTGTGCGGTTAGACACACAGTCAGCTCCTTGGTGGGGATACTTCCAGTAGGTCTAGAAGTCGGTCGTATTGGCTTTACTCAAACTGAAGACTTGAACTCCAAGGGCTGATCGTGCATCTTAGGAGAGCAGCAAATCTCCTCCTGCCATAACCCCCGGCCCCTCCAATTGTAGCCCAGAGTCTCCAGGTTCTCCAGCTGGTCTTGCCCCTCTCCATCGGCCCAAAGAGGGCTTCCACTGTCCCCGTGACCTCCCGACACGCTCCTCTGCCCACACTTGGGGTTTCCTCCAGCCTCCCACTTGGGTCGGGTATCAGACAGACCAGCTGGACCCTTAGTTGCAGACTTGCTGCTACCGCTTCCAGGTGGGCTGGACACAGGTCACTGCGAACCTTTCCAGTGTGTGCCAGACTCTGATCACAGGATGCGGTAGACCAGGAGGGCGCAAAGCCTCTGTACAAAAGACCCATGGGATCTGCAGGCAGTGGTGACGGGCCACCCCGGGGTACCAGGAGACATACACAAAGCCCTCTAGGAGATTATGATCCCAGTACTCAGCCATGTGTGGAAAGCACACTCATGAGCGAGAGCGACATAAGACATTAGACCAATGAGGCATTGGACAATATTTATACCACGACCAGGGCTAAGAGCACAGCAAAGAGGGAAGACGCAGACAGCAAAGAGAGGCCCGTCTTCCTCTCACAGAGACAGGGCCTGGAGATGAGGTCTGTCCCCATACACTCACCGGACAGTCACCGGGCAGCTCCAGTGCAGGGGTTCTGATTCAGGTCCAATTGGCCTGATTAAAGTAACTCTCCCCTGCCCGCCCTCTATCTCCCTCTACCGGGGAGAGAAAGAGAGGGACATGGTAGAGAAAGGAAAGGGGAGAAGGCACAGCTCAGCGTGAAATCACTGCCCTTGGCCAAAAGCTCCACACCCTCAGCCACCCCACATGTGACCCTGTGTCTACCCGCTCTGCTGTCAACAGACAGCGTCCAGGCCTCGGTCACATGGGCAAGAATCGTCACTTCTTATCTACCAAGATAGTTCCCTTCCCGATATAAACCTGGCCCAAAGTTGCATTAAGTGGGACCCATATTTGGACCCAAACTCTCACTTCATTTTCTCCCTGCTCCCCAGATCGCTTCACAGAAACAACAGGTAGAGAAGTGGGATATCTTACTGCTTCTTCTGGAACCGTCGAGATGCAGCTCTTGAAGCAGCTCATTCCCTTTCCTACCGACACACCACATAGGCAGAAAGACCTGCACCCTTTCTGCTGAGTGTTAAGATAAGCTTAATCCTGTCCAGAGGGCAGTACAGCGTCAAAACATCTACAAGACCATCCAGCAAGACATCCGTCAGGAACTAGGTCAAGTTTGCAGGCTGGGAAACACGATCTTAGAATTTCTGGTGAAGGGAAGGCAACAAACAGGACATGGAGTCAGGACCATAGAAAGCCAGGAGGTAGACAGAGACAGGCTAGTTGACACATGGGGGAGGCCAGATCCCTTGCCAGGTGCGATCTGCCTTAAATAACTGGCTGTTCTGATCCATCTTTGTTCCCGCTTCCCTGAGCGGCCTCATCTGTCAGTATAAAACCCATGCCTCGCCCTTGGGTTCCCCCACACAGCGAACAGCATTCTCCTGAATCAGCCACTCCTTCAAGTCGTCTGCTAAACCCAGACACCAGTGGCAGCGCCAGGGACCTGCCCTTCCATGGGCCTCACCCCCAACAACAGGACAAAAGGAGAACCTCGCTTCTAAGATCTGAAAGGGATGTGTCTGAACATGGACTCGTTGAAGATGATCACAAAAGCGCTTCTTGAGACCCTAATCCACGAAGTCACCAAAATATCAGTGAAAGAAGCAGATCGCGGTTTAGACATAGAACAGTTCCTTCAAAGGAGCTACGACGTTCTCGCATTTACTGAGCCCTGAACTTCTGGGTATTTTAAATAAGTTAGCATGGACAGAAGCAGGCTGTTGTTTTCCTGTTGTCCCTTTGGCACTAAGACATACAATCAAGGGGAAAGTTCAGTTTAAAGCGAAAGATATTGCCTTGAAGCAGGAAACAGGACAGAGGTGACTGCCAATGCAGCCAGACACAAATTGTACCGTGGGCATCCTGTGTCAGGTTTGATTTTTATGAGCAATTCCTGGCTTGGTAACTCAAGGAGGCCAAGGGCACCCCTGTGGAGCCAGAGATGGCCTCCAGGGCTGGCCTGGCCAGACTAGTCTGCAGGGCTGACCACAAGCATCCCATGGGTCTGCCCCCTATACCTACACCCCCTCAGCTAGTGGTACCCAGCCGGGTCCATCCTATTTACCCAATCATGAGGACCTCTTCCCCCAAAAACCCAGGTAATGGATCAAAGGATTAACCTAGAAGAAAAGAAAAAGAACACAAGCCATGTCCAGTTCTAAACACCCCCCAGTGGAGTGCTGAATTCTTTAGTAACTGTGACTTAGGTGTGGCAGGTTTAGAGATCTTTTTAGAAGAGAGAGAACTTTGGAAAGTTCAAGACCTACCGTGGCAATTAAGTTGGGCAAACCAAATAGCAGTTAAAAATACCACAGTTATGCTGCGCTTGTGGTTCGAACTGCATTTCCCCAACAGCATGCCAACCGTATGACACCCAGGTTTTATTTTAACCAATTCTGCTGAGAAAAACACCAGCCTTCAACCTAACAGAGTCAAAAGCCATGTGTTACGGTTACATTCTGCTGTAAAATGATTAAGCATTGAACAGGGAAAGCACACAAAGTTAGCATCTGGTAACTACTTACCCTCCGCCCTGGGGGGTGCCGAACCACCCCCCAGGAAATGTCAGAGCGCCTTTCTCGCAGTTAGAAACGCCCGCCCAATCTCCACACTTGGAGCTTGCCTGTATATTTGCTCTTGATCGTTCAAGTAATACTTTACAAAGGAAATTACTAAGCAGTCATAAAGGGCAAAGGGTTAAATATTTATGAAGGCTCACGATGCCAACGAACTCACTTTCCCCAAAATGTGCTCAACACATCAAAGTTCTGTATCCTTCATGAATGACCACTCTGACTTCACAAAAAGAGGAGTGAGCTCTGTATCCGCCTGTGGCCTCTGCTGGCAAAGGCCCAACTGAAGCAGGTCCGAGAGACCCAGCCCACAGGGGACAATCTTTCCAGCTCCACCAGCAGCTCGAGGCTCTCTGGGAGTTACCACACCTCTCCATGTCTGGTTTCCACCCTTTTAAAACGGGCCTAGTGATTGCACCCTCTCAAAGGTTTGTTAAGAAGATGAAGACTTGGTGTGGGGAAGGCCTTAGAATAGAGCCCAGCATGTAATGAGCACTATGTGAGTTACTATTCTTATTGTTGGTTTTATTATTTGGCCAACAGGGATTAAACACCATAGCAGCACCGAAAGCAACGTTCAAGCTCTTGTTTCAGATAGAATGAGACCAAAGAAGAAACACTCTCTTCTCTATTTATTATCAAATGATATTCCAGGAAATCACACTTATCTAAAACATACTTACTGAACAGGGAATATCTGCTGGACTTTGTGGAGGACACAAGATATTATAAACCAAAGTTTCTACCATCTAGGGCGTTACAGTCGAATGAGGAAGCTAGGATGTACGTGCATAAGAAACCACACCGAGGGCAGCATTTGTAAAGTGCCAGCTGAGCAACACTATAGCATTTATTTTTAATTGATTTATAAGTACCAAAGCGCTGAGTAAGCAGATTGATTTCAGCCTAAAATGGGAAACATCATGGAGATGGGATCTGAGCTGGGCGTTGGAGGATGGACAGGATCCTAACTGAGAGAGAAGGAGGGTTTGGGGAAGGAGAATATTGGGAACGGTATTGCAAAACTCATGGGGCCATCCGCAATTTGAGATGAGAGACTGGGGGGCTTAAGAACGTAAGGTCTGCAGTCAGAGGCCCTCCATTCAAATGCTTGTTCAACCACATGCTCGCTGTGTGTCCATGGCCAGTTACTTAATCCTCTTTGTGCCTCTGTTTCCTAATTGGATCCCCCTCATAAGTACTGTCCTGAAGACTAAGATAAAGCATGTGAGGAGCTTAACATAGTTCCTGCACACAGTAGGTCTCAAGGTTAGCAATTGTGAGATATTAGGCACTGGCAAGGAGGCTGCCAAGAGACCCATCTGTGTGCAGAAGAGAGTTGAAGAGGAAGCTGAAAAGTGGTGCAACTCGACATTGGAAGGTCAGAGGGGGTGTGTGGGGAGTTGCTTTCATTCAGGGAGAGACCTGAGCCACCTGAGAAAAGTCATCTTTAGGATGGTTCACCTGACAGCTCCAGGCAGCTCGCAAGAAAGTGAAAGCATCTGGGGACAGAAGTCCAATAATAATGTACCAGGGTCCTTGTGGGACTGGTAAGGGGCTGCCGCTGGGTCCAGGCACTTGTCACAGGAATAGAAAAGAAGGGTGGATATAAGGGACTGGATTAGGTGGCTCAAAGAGTTGGTGGGATATGAGACATGAGAGAAGGAGGCCAAAACAAACTCCACTGTGGGGCCGGCCTGGTGGCATAGTGGTTAAGTCTGCGCGCTCTGCTTCAGTGGCCTGGGGTTCACAGGTTCGGATCCCAGGTGCAGCCCTAGCACCACTCATCAAGCCAAGCTGTGGCAGCATCCCACATAAAACAGAGGAAGATTGGCATAGATGTTAGCTCAGTGACAATCTTCCTCAAGTGAAAAAAAGAGGAAGACTGGCAACAGATGTTAGCTCAGGGCCAATCTTCCTGACGAAAAAACCCAAAAACCAAAAAACACCACTCCACTAAGTACAAAGTGATATTCTGTTTTAGGTCTTGCAATAGAAAAGGGATATTAGGGAAAAAACCAAGAAAATCTGAATAAAGACAGTATTTAGCTAATAGTATCGTAGCAATGTTGATTTCTTAGTTTTGATAAATGTGTCAGATTATAGGATGTTAACATTAGAGGAAGCCAAGTGAAGGGGATATGGGAAAACTCAGTACTGTCTTTGCAGCTCCTTTATAAATCTAAAATTATTTCAAAATTTTAAAAACCTAAAACTCCAGATATTTTGGGGTAACAGTGATCTGGGAAAGAGGGAAACCAGGGCAAGTACTGGCTTGGAGTTAAGGTGATGAGTTGACGGAGCGACTTAAACAGCAATATGGCTGATGGGAGGACCAAGAAGATGCCCAGGCCTTACAGATGAGAGCATGACCTCGTGCCCACATCCAGCCATGTGGCGAATCTGGCCTCCTAGGGACCTGGAGTGGCTGCACAGTCCTCTCAAGTTACTGTGCTCACTTTCCTTGTCACGTGCCCATCTCCCCACCCCAGTTACAGCCCCCCCACACTCCCACTGTTCCCTATTACAGCAAATTTGCCTACCAGGAGAGGTGTCGTATGGCATTTCCAAAGAACTTTATCTTCAGACTAAGCAGCTTCTATTTTGAGGCCCATAATAAACCAAGGCTTCTTAAGGAAAGAAGAAATACCCATAACAGCAGTTGTCAATAGTCCAAATGCAGAATAACCACCAGCTAGTGAGCAGCAGAGCTGGGCTCTAGACTGCAGTGTGCCTCATTCTGCAGGCTGTGTTCTTCCCACCATCCCAGGGGGCCTCCTACAGTAGGCCAGGTGTGGTCTGCTGCCTTAACAAACACGCGAAAATACAGCTTTACTTAAAGCACCAACGCCTGGGATTAGAGAGATCTTCTAGAAAGCTCTCTAATCTACTGGCCTAAGGGAATCAAATATTTTCTATCTATAGTAACTTGAACCATTAATTCTGAATGTCAAAAGTACCATATCATGTATATATATACATACTTATGTTAAATATATACCTATGAATGAATATTCCATATAATGAACATATATTGGTTCAGTAAAACCCATATAATGAATGTCCCTTAAAGATGGGTGATGAATAAGTAAAATAAATTCTTTAGCAAAAAGTAGAAGAGATTCTGAATAACTAGGACATAAGTGCTAATAAACATTTGTTGATTTCACTTAAGCGCATGGCTCAGCGGTCTTTAAATTAATCCCTTCAAATAAAATACGTCTGGCGCTAAATGACGAAATCAGGAATCGGGTTGTTTTCATGAGAATGAAATTAGAGCGACAGGAGAAAGAGATTAGATTCCAGTCCTTTGGAGCCTGAGCAAAGTCCCCTAACTTTCAACTGTGAACGTCAATCACGGATGCTGTGCTGGGACATGAGAAATCCGACCAGCAGAAGCTCTGGAACTTTCTTTCACCAGGCTGTAGATGGAACTGATGTGTCAGGCAGAGAGGTCAGAATAGACGATCTCTAGGGCCTGTTAACTGTGAGCTGCTGGGATTCTGTCACAGAGTTTATGATGCTCTTAGGCTCAAATAAGATCACAGAGCATCCTTCAGCTCTAAGGTATTAGGTACATGCTGCAGCTGGCTTGTGCTAGCTCATGAGAGAGACAACAACTTAAATTTTCAGGAATTTTGCAGAACAGCTGGTAAACACAGTCATTATTAAAAATTAAACTACATAAACATACAAGTAAATTAATAATTAAAACAAAGTTAATGAATACTCAAAACACATCACTTTCTAACAATTTTATTACGTTTCAGGCTTACCTATGCTCTTGAGGTTACTTATGTCTATTGTATCTATATAGAGGAAATACTCTTTCCTGCTCCAGGGGCCCTGACTTCACAGTGACAGCCTGAAATCAACCACGCGGGACTATTTACACCAAGGAAATGGGCAGACGCTATAAATCAGGGGGGTTTCCTCCTGAGAGCCAGTTGTTGCACGTTTACCAGTGACCCACTGGATACTTGTGTCCTTGAAAGGCAAAGACAAATGAGAAAGTGTATTGTGTTGGGAGGGCAAGGTGCAGGGGAGAGGAGAGAAAGTGAAGGGGCAAGAGAAAGTGGTAAAATGAGAGAGCAAGGTGGGAAAAAAAGTGGGTGTCAGGGGAGTGGGGAGGGGAAGAGGGTAGAGATAGAGACAGGGAAGGAAGAAAGTATTTATTTATTTAGTATCCTGAAAATAATGGCTCTATATAAGCAAATTATTTCAGATAACCAACATTTAAACTCTTTTTCTGAAAATTTCTCTAAATGTATTACTCATGTATTACACTGTAATACTCCTGCCTTCTGAAGCAGAAGCCACCAATTTAACTGAATATTTTCTTACTGACTCAGGTCAGCCCTGTGATCAGACGTTCTATTGCCTTGTATTCCCCTCCAGGTCACTGACGAGCATAGAGCTCTCTGTGCCTTTTATAAGATGGCTCCAGTCTTATGAGCTTTTTATAGCTTCTCTGTCAACTCTCTCACTGCCAGGCTGTCAGCTGTCGCTTCGAGACGTTCTCCCAGTACTTATTTCTAGAAGCCTCGTTTGTTGCTTCTAACTCACAGTGAACTAAGAAGTCAGAAAACCAGACTTGTTAGAGTTGTGCCTAAAATAAGAGCCAACAAGCTCTAGGAACAGCCAAAGGCTCTCTCCAATCAAAAAAGAACATAAACTCTAGGACCGCTCCCCAGGTTCTCAAGGTTACCCATTCTGCCTTCTTTCAGGTTCTTTGCTGTGTTCCCAGTGGTTGAGGTGGCAGAATTAGCAGCCTCCAGATAAGTGAGGTTTCACTAAATATATCAAACATTCAATTGAGACAAACCGAAAAATAGAGAAAACAGAACCAACATTGACTAAATTAGAGAGCGAATCATGTACGTCTGTCACGTAAGTGATAGTTGACAGCACAAACGCTCTGTTCTCCTGCCACGCTATGCCCTTTTCCTGAGGCAGAGGGCAGAGCTGGCCATGGCCCAGCTCCATGGCTGTCGCTCCCAGTGTCCACAAAGGGCTCTGAGCAGCTGGAAGTGGAAACCACCAGAAACAGGCAGCAGCGGACAAGGAAGTGCTGGTGGAGGCAGCCCCACCTCCAGCAGCTAATGCAGGAGCTGGCCCCAGCTCAGGGCATCTGTCTACCCCATCTCTCTTCATTCACATCCCCGAGGGAGATGAGCAGCAGAGAGGCCCTATGACATGAATTAGGGCTCTGGTATAACCAAGCAAGATGGCGGTCGAGGAGAAGCCATCAATGGACAAGTCGCCCAGTGGACAGGTACTAGGAGCACACAGTAGCACTCAGCACATAACCCACTTGAAACGCAGTCTGATGTAACCACGTTAATTGGCCCCTCCTAAGCACCATGCCAACCTCCTGAAAATGCATGTCTTTATTTCTCTAAATGTGGTCTTTGGGCTGGCACCAAATTCGGAAAACAAGAAAAGTATTTAACCTCTCGCTGACTTCGCTGGATGAAATAATTGTGCTTTAAAAAAATTTTTTTTTTAAATCTCTTTTCTTCTGTAGAGTTTTGTTTTAAAATATTCTGATAGCAAGACAAAAGCTCTAATTCTCAGGCCTGTTGCCTGTTTACCCAGATTGTCACACACAAAAAATTTTAAATAACTATAATAGAACTACAAAGCTATCCCAGAAATAGAAGAAAATTCCAAAAATTACCCTCCTTGCACTGAGCATTTAACTTGTAAAGAAAGAAACAAGAAATGTTCTAAAATTAAAAATAGAAACTCTGGTAAGAATCCCATTATTTCATAGTTCTTCTTTATGCTGGGCACACAGTAGGCCCGCAACCAATATTTGTTGGGTAGCCGACTGGATGGTTGAATAGATACAGTACTATCGACTGGGTAGCCTGAGGTTGACTGGCCTTCCCCAGGACTCTGGGCAGCAGGACTTGTCCATATTTGGGCCTGTTGAAGAACTATAATTAACTAGTCAAAGTCCTCTCTAACATGAAATCTGAGCATCTTTTCTTTGAGCCTGAGGCTAGCGATTTTAACTACTGTTGCCTAAAATGCAAGTTCAGAACAGTCCATCAACTAGCTGATATTTACTGACCGTTCACAGCACATGGGCCACTGTGCCAGGAAACGGAGATGGAGTAGAGTGAACAAGACAGGAAGGTCCCACCCAACATTACAACACACTTACCAGAATCTATAATAGACCCACACACACAAGGTCCCTTGGTTTGTGACTACAATGCAGTGTGGAGAGGATGATTTGTTCAATGAATGGTGCTGGGTCGACTGGACGTCCAGGTGGAAAAGAATGAATCTTGATCCCTACATTATAGCACACACAAATCAGTTTCAGATAGATGAAGATCTAAACGTAGAAGGCAAAACAACGAAGGAGCCAAAAGACAGCAGGAGGAGATTTCCATGACTTTGGAGCAAAGACTTCTTAAACGGGATGCAACATGCATTAACTATAAAGGAAAAAACTGATAAATTGGACAATATTAAGAGTGAGAACTTCTGCTCATCAAAAGACACCATGAAGAGAATGAAAATCTCAACTCACAAGGTGGGAGAAAATACTTACAACGCTTATTTCTGACAAAGGACTAATATCTAGGATATATAAAGATTAGTATCTAGAATATATAAAAATCAGTAAGAAGAAGAGAAGACAAACAATCCGACCCAAAGTTTGTTTGTTCGTTTGTTTGTTTGTTTTAGTGAGCAGAAGAGGTGAACAGGCACTTCACAAAGAGGAATCCTGAAGGGCAAATAA